CAAGTTAGTAACTGAGTTGAGTTAGTAACTAAGTCAAGTTAGTAACTGAGTTGAGTTAGGAGTCAAGTTAGTAACTAAGTCAAGTTAGTAACTAAGTCAAGTTAGTCACTGAGTTGAAATATATCAAGTAATAAGATAAGTATGCTCTTCGTTGAAACTAATATGACCGATACTTTTTTCGACGTGTTTTTTTATCACCGTCGTTTAAATAATCGAAGCTGTCAGCAATGCTTTTGAGACAATGCGTAAATAGATTTCAAGTCTATGATAGATATTTAAAAAGCAAGCGCAAGAGATGATCGCTGAAAATTAGATTGTTGAAGTAAATATTGTGGGTAATAAATGATCGAAAAAATTCGGCGATCTTTATTTCGACCATCTTTATATCGGCGATCTTTATTTCGATGATGTGTATTTCGGCGATCTTTTTTTTCGATTATGTTCCATTCGGCGCGAGTTTCGGCGATCTCACTTTTCGGCGATCTAGCATTCGGCGAAGAGCATTACATTCGTGAGTCACTGCTTATTTTTCTTTCAGCAAATGCTATGCCAATGCACAACGGAAACAGACAGGTGAGTGCTCGAAACAGACGACGACGTGTTTTTTTCTTTATGAAAACTTTTTATTGCTTCTTAATATCTTTCTGTTCTAGTGTAGAATACTACGTTATTAAAAGGATCCATTTCTTCACAACTTGGATTTAGTCTCTATCTTCGTACTTGAACTGTACACAACTTTCTACGTGTATTTGATTATGATACAGTTGAAATTTTCCAGCTTGCTCATGTATATATACGTATGAGCATAGATGTACATGCGATTTAGCTTTACATACAAAAAATCTCCGGTTATTCTTTTAACTATCGTGATTTTCACGATTTTCATATTAAATTAAATGCAAAAAGATACTTATTTTCTTTAATATATATCTTCCTACTAAACGGTAAGACGGAATTTCGCCAATAAGAATTTCGCAAACGGAATTTCGACAGTGTCCATTTTCCAGTGTAATTTCGAAATTTTTCGAAATTACACTGGCAATTCGACAATAATTATTATTAATGTATTTTTATTGTCGATTTTCCGTCGGATTTTCGACATTAAGAATTTTTCACCCAAAATACATTAATAATAATTATTGTCGGAATTCCTACGGAATTTCGACAATAACGGAAATTCGACAATATTGTCGAATTGCCAGTGTAATTTCGAAATTTTTCGAAATTACACTGGAAAATGGACACTGCCGAAATTCCATTGGCGAAATTCTTATTGGCGAAATTCCACAAAACCCTACTAAACATTACTGCTATCAGCTCCAATCGCGAAATGAATGCATTGGTGCCATTAAAAAAAAACCGGATGTACATCAAATACAAAAACTATTAGAAAAAGAAACAGTCAGATAGACAAATAAAAAGTTCTTACAATATATTTTTAGTTTCCTGACAATGTCGATGCACCGTTACAAGCTATTTTAAAATCTATTTTACTATAATTATTTAACGTACTGCGAATCTCAAAATCATTTTTCTCTCTGGTAATCAGGATACAGAAATCCATAAATCCTACATGAAATCCTACCTTGATGTTATGATTATTATGTTTTATCGGTAAATTATAAGTAAACTACCACAATTGATTACATTGCTTGTCTGATACTAGTTTTAGTCATTTTTGACGTATAGTGTAGACATTACAAGTTAAGTCCATTGTCTACCATTTATATTGTTTTGCTTGTCGAGAGAATTCGTTCTTTTTTTTTTATTGAGCTTTAATTTTAGATAAATTTCGAAGGAGTAAATGACAAATGGCTGACGAAATTCAAAAAATTAAAAAAGATATAGCTTTAAATAATGCAGTTATATTTATTGGTACAGATGTATCTATGTATACAACAAACTTTGAACAAGAAGTGTCTCATTGGAAAGGATTGTTGAAACATGGACTGCAACAATGTTATCGATCAGGATCGATTGGTGACGAAGAATTCGAGGATTTCAATGACATATTCCATAGTGACACAGCACAAATTGATGATTATTTGCTTGCTGCCAATCAAATTAAGCATTATTTTCAAATAGAAAATAATAAAACAGAACCTGATCCTTATACAACATGGTTAAGAGAAACAATAGGGAGTTTAGAAGTTAAAAAACCGGAACTTATTAAAGCTATAGGAGAATTAGAGTGTCCAATTCTAACAACTAACTATGATTCATTGCTCGAAGATATACTTAATAAAAAATCATTAACTTGGAATGAATATTATGCTAATGATATTGATGATTTATTGGAGAATCTTCAAAAATATATTCTACATGTACATGGATATATTGAAGACACAGATAGTATAATTTTCAGTAGCCATGATTATGATCGACTTCTTGATAATGAATTTGCACAATCTAAACTGAGAGTATTTATGGAAACAAAAACTCTATTATTTATTGGATATGATGCTGGAATTTCTGATCTAAAATTTTCGAACTTATTAAACTGGATATATCATGTAACAGGTAGTAAATCATTGTCAATGTATAAACTTGTTAAATTCAACCAAAATAACACATTTAATCAAATATTCGATGCTTCATTTTCAACGAATGTTAAAGAAGTTAAATATGGACATAATTCGAAAGATTTACTACAATTTGTTAAGAATCTCAAATCATGTATACCATTAATACGTGAAAGTTTATCATTTACAGACAAAAAGGAAGCCGTTCGCAAAAAATATTTGAATTATCTTATTAGTGAATATGGATATGTATCCATTTTTGGCTATTCTAATACAAATATGAGTTTACCTTTAGAAAGTGTCTATGTAGAATTAAAATTTGATCCAACACATCCATCGATAAAAGCAATGAAAATGTTAGAAATCAATGAAGAATTTAAGTGTAAACTTTTATCTCCTAGCTTTTTTAATGAGCACGAAAGAAAACAATTGAATAGAGCTATCCTAGAAAAAAATGACTACAATTCTGAAATGCTCTATAGAGACATTATGATTGATCAATGGTTAAATGTTTTGTTAAGTAACAAAAATATATTTACTGACAATGAAGCAACTACTATTAAAACTAAGGTGAATCGATTAAAAAACAGCATTATAGAAAAAAATAATTTCAAAGAAGCAAAACAATATCGAATCCAAGAAGCATATAATAAATTTAAAAATTTTATAGTCTTAGGTCATCCAGGTTCAGGTAAAACTACATTATCAAAATGGTTGATTATGAATATGGCTAAACAATGTTTAGGTGAGAAGAATATGTTATTTGATAGTATTTATTATAGAACAGAAAAAATACCAATTCTTATTCCCATATGGAAATATGTTGATCAAGTAAAAGAAAATCAGAATAAAAAAAAATCTTGTCTACTTGAATTTATTTATGAAAATCCTACTTTTGATTCAATATTTTTCAATGTTGAAGAACGAAAAGAACTATCATCATTGATTAGAGAATCATTAATTAAGGAAAATGTTTTAGTTATATTTGAAGGCTTAGATGAAGTTCCGGCTTATGTAGATCGATCAGATTTAATGAAAGAAATAAATACATTATTAGAACGAAGCATAGATTATGATGCAACATATGATAAACTTACTTATTCAATTTATGAACAACATGAAATAAATAATACTAAATGTCCAACTATCGGAAATCGATTTATTATAACAAGTCGTATCGAAGGAAATTATTTTGAAGATATAAATTTTTATGTTCCAAGATTAACTATTGAAAATATGTCTAATGATGCTCTTAAATTATTCTGTAGTTCATATATGAAATGCATTAATCAAATTTCTATGAATACTAGACGAGTTATTGAAGAATGTAATTGTGATCAATTATATAATGATATAACACAAAATAAAGATATATTTCATTTGGCGATTAATCCACAATTAGCTAGTGTGATTGCTGCAGTTTATAATCAATATGAAGATAAATTACCAGAGAAAAGAATTGATTTATATGAAAAAGCTATCGAAAAGATGATAGAACGTTTAGTCACTTCTTATATCGATTCTCCAAAAAATTATCTAGGTAAAGATTTTCAATTAAATGCTACTTTGTTATGGTCAATATTACAAGACATAGCTGAATATTTACATAGTAAAGTTGAAGGACTATCAGAAAGCATGTTAAATAAAATAATAAGAAATTGCTTAATAGATTATCAAAAAGAATCATTGAAGAATTCTCAATTACACATTGATGATTTGACATCGAAACTGGTAGATATTTTTAAATATCAAGCAGGTTTACTTAATGAATTTGGTCATAACAGTTTTCGATTTATACATCGTACCTTTCAAGAATATCTCGCCGCTAAAAGTATTATCTATTCTTATGGAATCGAACGATCTGAAAATATTATTTATCAAAATATTCATGATAAAATTGGTATTCCAAATTGGCGAGTTCCTCTCAGTATGACACTTGGAATACTAAGTAAAACAGTGGAATATAATGAGTTATTTACCAATATTATTACAAGATTGTTAAAAGATGAACATGATATATCTTATCAACAATCTTCTACACTTCTAGTGGTATTCGTCATCATAGATTCATTAAATGATATTTACTTCTCATCGACATATACAGAACATAAATTAATTCGAAAATTAGCCGATATATTATTATCTGATTATAAAAATATGTCGGGCTTTTCACGATTAAAAGGACATCAAGAATTACTTGAATCCTATTTCTTAAAATTGAAAATAAAATATAGTTATACACTTGCACAGTGGTTTATTAAAAAAATAAATTATGAAGAAAATATTGCACCATGTGCCAATATTATTTATCAACTAAGATGGTACGCTCCAATATTTCATGAAGTATTTCTAGAAAATTTACATAATGATTCTAGAGTTTGGAATTGGCCAATCGATTCAATCTTACGATATTATTCAAATAAAATTAAAGATCAAACAATTTTAAAACAATTAAAATTTAAAAGTGAAATAAATAAAAATTCTAAACTTATCAAATATATCATAAACAATAATGATTGGTTATGTTTAATTACAGCTTTATATGGAGGATATAAAAATTACAATACTGAATCAAATATTTCAGAATATTATGAAATAGCTCAATTTCTTGAATTAAGTGATATAGAGAGGGCACCTTTTATTTATTATTATCAAGAAGTTTGGGATAGAGATGATCCGGCTTATAGTATGGCTGTGTATCTTGACGCAGCAGTACATAAAAAGCGCTGGACTGAAACACCCAAATTTGATATCAATGATATTTACAAAGAATCATTTTTGACAAATGAAATTCTTCGATTGCTCCACGATGAAAAATCTACAACAGAATTAATCGAAACATTGCACAAACAAATTAAGCATGAAAAATTAAGTAGAAGGGAAAAAGTAGAAGCATCCATCGCATTAATTGTTTTAGGAGACTTCGACTTCATTAATACTATTATTATAGAAGGCGAAAAAATGTTTATGAAGGGCTTGAGAAACAGAATAGAACAGCTTATTTCTACATTGAAAGATCCAATAGCAAGATGGTCTGCGCATATTCCTAAATATTTACTTACAATTTATAAAGACATGAAAGCAAATCCGTTAAAATATAATATGAGTTTTTTACACTATTGCACAATATATTCATCTTTAATAGCTATTAGTGGAGGATTTCCAATTGACACCAAGATGTTAGCTGAAACTATAGAAAATGCTGAAGATAAGTATAATTTATATGCAGAATATTTTGCATTTAAGCTCACTGGTGCTGATGATAATTTTCAAAATAAAATTACTGTACTATGTGATACAGTCATTCCTACAATTAAAGCTGATCACATAATGAATTCATTTTTAAAAATTAATGATGCTGTTCAGATTTATAGACCAGTTCGAGCATATCCATGGATTACTAACTTGTTTACTTTTAAATTGGATAATCAAGATGATATACCAATAGCATTTTTTAATTGTATAGAGAATATCAATACAAATGTACCATATTTAGTAGATTGCATTTCTGAGAATTTCTTCAAGGAAGAATATTTCAATAGAAATCCTGATTTAATTCCATTATTTGTATTATTACGTTTCGGAATTATGTCAAAAGATCTAGATAAATTTAATATATACGAGCATTTATTACCTGAATTAATGGAAAAATTCGATAAAAAAGAATTTTTATTTGAAAAAATTCAATCGATGTGTAATCCTTATTATAAATCAAGAGCATTGTATCAATTAGCTACATTCTATGATGAAAAAAGTTATGAACTATTAAATCAATCTTTTATACTGACAAAAAATATTCAAGAGTCATCTCTAAAATTTCAAGTTTTAGAAAAGATTTTTAGTATTGTTCATTATAAGGAAATTGAACAGAAGCTATTCATTCAACAAATAGTTGACGAATTAATTTTAACATATGATAATATTGAAGATGTTTATAATCGAATTATTGCATCACTAAGATTATCGTTTTATGGATCAGGAGAATTTCGAAAGAAATATTTAACCAATGCTTTAGAAACACTTTATCAAATGGATGAAAATGATGACAAAATCAAATTAATTATTAAATTAAAACCATTAATTACTATCTATGATGATCTTCTAATCAAGTTTAATGAAATGATAGAAACTCTTAAAAATAAAATGCATCATTATATGGCTAATGCTTATTATGGAAGAATGTTATTTACTGAAACACGATCGATATTTAATTCAAACATAATTGTAGATCTGAGTGAAGATTTGAAAAATAGAAATGATAAGAATAATATTACAGATATTTCAAATTATAATGAATTACAAGGTTTATTCTTATTGTTTGCTCAATTGAACGACATAAAATTAGTAATTAATAAAACAGAAAGTACAGATCAATTATGGGTTCATCTTTTTAAAGATATTAATAATCCATCAACTATAGAAAAAATATTAAATAGCGGTTTACATGATGAAATATTTCTGACACCACAAATAGCCATTATTATTGATGAATTGATGCAAAAAGGAAAAGAAGATACTATATCAATTCTTTTCCCTTATATAATAAAACCATTCAATGAAGTATTACCTATTGTCCAGAAATGGTTTACACAATATAACAACTGTCAAATTAAAAATCTCGCAGCTCTCTTACTTGCAGAAGCCAAGCATGTTTTTGAACCTGCCGTTGATACAATTATAAATTTACTCATAAGCGAAAATGATCAAATGAGATATAGAGCTCAACGAATTTTTCAACATCCTGCAAGAGATGTTGAAGTACCTACTAAGAGAATATCTGTATTAGGAGAAAAAACAATGATAAAGATTCTTGAACATGCTGTTGTGAAAGATTATCTTCCACGAATTCGAGTTTATCTTTTAACGTTTTTCTTCGATTTATTATGGGATGATTCTATCGTTTTTTACAGATTATTTCAGCATATGAATCAACTAGAAGATAGAAACTCTACTAGTAATAGAAGAATACATTTTTTCAATAGACTTTACTTCATAAATAATTTTACTTGGAAGTCAATAATTGAAATAATGATACAATCATTACATCCATTATACATAGAAAAGTTACTTCATTCAGTGATGCATTTAGCAAAACGTTCTCAAATTTCAGCAGATGATTGGATTGAATTTTCAAAATTATTAGCAATAACAGATACATCACAATTTAAAGAAAAATTATATTTTTTAAATACAGATATAGAAAGAATAGAATTTATTCTTAATGAAGTTTCTGCTTCAACAACTATGGTTGGAAAAACTTATTTTGAAAATCTTGAATCAGTATTAGTCCAACGGACAACCATCAAAGTTGAAAATCTTTCACGGCAAACCTACGACCAAATCATATATATAGATCGTTGCAACTTTACTGTTTCAAATAATGCTAACCAAACAGTAATAAATTTATTAAACAATATTTCCATAAATATTATTCTCATGGAAAATTTAATTCAATGGTTAATACAAATAATGATTAGTTTCAATGGTGTTGATGATACTATATTTGCATTGATCTTAAGTGAAACATTATTATCTTTAATCTCTGCATGTGTTCAAAAGGAAGATTATTTGTATCGAAAAATTACAAATTCTTCGAATTTTAATAAAGTTCAAATGATTAAACTTCTGGAAAAAATGCTTAATTATCATCCATATTTTCCAGCTAGAGGTAACGCTTTTATATTACTTTCAGCGATAGACAACTTTGATCATAAAATAATTATTAATATCATGAATACATTTTTTGATGAAAATATTGTAAAAGAATATTCTGTCATTGGAATTCATCTTATTCATTTATCTCCAAATGAACTTATCGACGATTTAATGAAATATTTAAAAAGTGAAAGTGCTATAAAAATCTATGAAACATTAAAAATTTTGACAGAATTTGCTTTAAATGAAAAAATAGATACACATACAAAGTCAAAAATTATGATTTATTTAGCAAATGAAATTGGACAATTTAAATCAAAGAAGCCTGTTAATTATTACTATACAGATATAAAAATTCCTTTTACAACAACATTGGAAAATGAATTGTATAAAGCATGGATTAAAATACAAGGACTCTCTGGTAAAACACAATATTCGATTAATATTGAAAAATCAAAAAAATAATGTAATCCAACTTCATATGTTTACCTATGTATGGAACGTATCATAATTGTTCTTTTCTTTTTTACTGATTTTCGTTTCTAATATATACCATCGAGCACACGTATTAACCTCGAAAGAAGTAAATTGATATTTAATTTTAATGGTGTTATATTCATAATTGCATATAATCTAATTTGAATTCTATTCATCTACAAAATTTGTTTCAAAAACGTATTCGTTGTGCTCGATAGAGTATTAAATACAATATTGAATGCATAACTTTGAGAAAAACTTCTACCCACACTCGCAATTCTTTAAATTCTAATTATGGATGTCGGTGTAAAGTGAGGGTGTGAGTAAAAGTCAAGTGCACATTTATACTCTCAATTGGGAAACGAGCTATTTCTGTAGCTTTTATTTATTAAATATGTTCTGTAAATATCATGATATATGCCCGTAAATTTCAGCATAGCCTTTTCGCTGTACTTCCACCATATTTCGAAAATTTTAGATGATTCGAATGTTCTACGGTAAAGAAAAAGATGCCTTACGTAAACTTCACAGGTTCTGAACTTTGCAATTAAATCAAAATTCTTCAAAGTTTTGTACAAATTAGATTCCGATGGTGGGTGTGATCAAAAAAGAATCATCAAAACTCACACCAACACCAAAAGGCATTTTTGTTCTAGAATCTATAAACAGTACTGTTTAACACTGTTATGATTCGTAGGACTTATGAATCATACAGGACAATGCAACGAGTTGGAACGACCACACAACGAAGAAAAAGATGATTCTTCACGAGACTCGAACCACGTACCTTCTGTTATGCGAGTAGATGTCCTAAACCAATTAGATTAGAAGAGATATTCTATCTTCGTATTATGTACAGAGGGGAATACTTTGGACATAACAAACACTGATATATTGAATTTTGTCGCAATTTTCAAAGCCTGACAGCGAAAATTTTACGAAAATTAATACCTTTTTCGGTTTCTTCTAATCAGCAGGAATGGATCCTAATCGATGTTCTATTTTGCGCGTTTAATTTCATTCTCCCAAATATTTGTCTGATTGTTGGGTGGACTATTAATCGTTGTCGTCATGGTTTTACAGTAAACATATTTCCAACTATGTAATGACACAATTTATCCCAGTCTACTGAAACCAATGTCATCATAAGCGCAATAGCACAAGTCACGAAAATCATTAAAAAGCTAAAAAGCAAAAGGTCATTTGGGTCTGGGTGCGGGGTGTTGGTGGGCGTGGGTGTGGGTGTAGAGTAGGTGCTGTACTTCTCTCCATTCACATCCACACCCACACCCTTTGTCAAGCACGGTATCAACGGCCACGTATTGTCAACATGTATGAATGATATTATTTTACAAGAATTAGGCGTAACGACAATTTTATATCGAAGATTATTTCTAAAAGCTATTGCTGAATTAAAAGACAATCCATGAGTACCTCAGCAATGGTAATAACTTGATCTTGATGTAGACTATTTTTTATTTCAGTTGATTGTGTCTGAGAATTTTTGAAATGAGATAAAAAAAAGGAAAAGCAAGTACTTTTCATGTCGTGAGGGTGTGATTGTGGGTGGGTGTGGGTATGAGTAACTCGTGTAAAGCTATCCACAATCACATCTATGATGATAGGTACTTTCTTGTTGAAGAATGGAGTCCACTATTCGCAGCAACTAATCAGTTGTCGTAATTTTAGCTGTTTTTTGGAGGCGTTCTATCAAAACAAACGGAAGAGATGTGAATGTCACACTTTATAATATACGTTCTTAATACTATCGCAAAGTTAAGTGTTATCGATATCAATAAAATATGTCGAAAAATCTGTGAAGAGCGTGGATATAGAACATGTGTTGATGTACCTTTCTCTCCCATATTTTTTTCTGTTTTGGCCCTGAGCTTGATCTCCCGTGCTATAAATGAGAAAATGAGTGTAATAGAGTCTTTCGAGAATGATACTGCAATCTTATTTTCTTGTGTTTTTGTCTACCAATGGTTAAAAGACAAAAGTGAATGGTCGTTTCCATCATTTACATTGGCGTCGATATAGTATATATTTTGGTGTATATTCTTACACAGCCGATACACCCATAATGGCGGTATGGTGACGACTGATTCTTCTCGTGGATATCACAAAGTTTCAGGATTTTGCACAATATTCAGTTGTACATAAGGGTAACACTTAGAGAATGAATGAATTTTATAGGTTGAGAACAAAAAGTCTAGTTCGTTACAGTGATAGCAAGGATTTTTGTAAGCCAGCGCCATAGCCATATAGTCACAGATGTAGTAGATGTTTATATTACATGCACATCTACATTCTTTTTTATTTAAGCAATATTAGTTTGTATTGCGCGTGGAATCGTATAGTATTCATTGAGACTGACTTTTCGTATATTTTTCAATTTGGTTCCAATATGTTAGATCAGGCAAAAAGACATAATTCTATTGAAGCCACAAGATTTACACAATAATAGCTCAGAAGTGATTAAATAAGATCAAGATAAAAAGTTTGTACCTAGAGGTTTACGTGTGGGTATGCGGGTGTGGTTGCAGGTGTGGGTCTTGTTTTCATCTATATCCACAACTACACCCACACCCACATCCTTAAACAATTGTTTAATTTATTTCGTCATCCTCGTGAATAATATCGTATTAAAAAAAGAATTTTATATGTTATAATTTAGAGCATAAAATTTTATTGTCTATATATTCTTAATAAAGAATTCAATGGAAAAATTGAAAATTTTTCATTTGGTCAATAGTAAATTTTGATTGCATTGATTAGATCTAATTTTATGAAAAGTTTTCAAATACTATAATCAATCGTATTTTAAAGATATGACACTTGTCAATGGCAAGTTTCACTACCGATTCTATATGTATCAACTGCTAATATTATATTGTGTTCGGCTCAAAGAGAAACGATAAATTCTTTGCTGTGCCAAAGTAATAAACAAGCTGTGTACTGCTATCTGTTGTTAAAAAGGTTGATGTAGATGTGCGGAGTATGATTCACGCTCACACCCTCATATTATACAATAAGGGGAAAAGTGTGAGATTTTGTGTTTCGTATAGGCTTCACATGCAAGTTTACACAAAGTCGACCTCATGTGTGAGTGAGCGAGAAAAATTTTCAGATAAGAGAACTTAAAACTAAGCGTTGTCTCACATTTGAGTATGCTATGTTTGCAATCTCTTCTTTTTCGTCTTTCTCTCACGACCGAATTTCGTAATCATAACTAGAAGAGAAAACTAAGTAATGTGTATGCAAAGAAACATATTGATGATTAAGTGCTTTTGGCTTGGCTTGCGTCATGGGTTGAATGACTAATTTTTGTGGACCGTGAACTTCTGGACAAATTCATCACGGAACGCCCACAAGTGCAAATAATGAGAAGACTGGCATTCACACCCCATACCCTATGTTTACTAGAGAATCACCGCAAAGTTTTTCATGCCATACGTCTATATATGAACTACTGCTTTTATGCGCAAGTGCCATATGAGTACATTTTCGGTTTTCTTTTAATAGAGTTTTAGAGAATATCAAGTATGTAGTCATGTTTATATGTGTCACTTCTACTTCAAGTATTTTAGAAGAAAATAAGAGATTTAGAAAAAGACTTGACTGAACCTTCTGGTACTCAAGAACATTAAAAATTCCAATGTAATTCAGTCTTTTGTGAATCGTAAATTTTAACCGTTAGATACGAGAATCTAGGAGTGTCTCTCTATGTAAGATTTTTTAGAAGTCCCAGTGAATCGCACACTAATTAACGACGTATCGGAACTCTCTGTATGAAATAGTGAAAAAGATCGAACCTGCTAGCGCGTGGCTTGGTGTGTGAAGTGGTGTGTTGTGTCGATCTAAGTAATGGGAAGTTGCATACTAGTCTCCATATCTACATAAAAACCCGTATTCATATCTTTAATTTCACCACGTCAGCTTTGCATAAGCAACCACTTCTTCCATCCTACCAACTGCTGATAATGATAACCATATCATATTATATAAGCAATTGAAGAAAGAAATATTGAAGAGCACTATCAAATTACTTGAGGTTGTCCAAAGTTTCTGACCCCAATATTTAAGATTTTATGAAATAGTAATTATCAAAAGTTATATTACCTGACTACATACTAGAGTGCCTTGTCTACAATGATATGTATCATAGCTCTATCTTGGATTGAGTGCTTACATTATTTTAGAAGAATTCCATCATATACAAGGCTGACTTGAATCGAGAGATATTGAAGTTTTGTTACTATCTCTAACTAATCCATGTAGTTCCCATCAGATAATCTTGAAAATCGCTTTTCGAGTTTAAAATTGAAACTTAACCCAACTGAAGTACTCCACGAGATCCGTTCATGGTAAAATTTTCATGCCTTTTAATTGTTTCTATCCTCAGATATGAATACTAAAATCAAGCGTGCAACAAAGGACGTTTTGTTCTTATATTCATACCTGACGACTTAAGTAACTGAAAGGCATGAGACTATAGCCATGAGTTATTTTCATAGACAACTGCAGTCATGGAAAGTTTTAAGGCAAAGCTTAAAAATCGATTTTTGAGATGACCTGAGGGGGATCACAAAGATTAGCTTAAGGATGCATTAAATCTTCGATATCTCTTAAATACAGACCCATAGTTACAAACATTATGGGTTTAGTTCATCTTAATCAGCGACACCTTCGTAGCTGCCTAACTATCTGTAAGTAGAATAGCGAGTCAAAAATAATGAACACTTCGAATGTGCGTGGTGTTAGAGAAAAATCATTCTACTATCTAAACATGCAATAAAACTTTTGATATCAACTATTCAATAAAATTCTAAGTAACGTGATCAGAACTTTTGAACAATTCTAAGTGCATGTGTATATATAAACAGACTTTGGTGTGGATTTAATCAAAACAAAGGCAATGGCCCGTGATTCAAAATCAAATACCTCATATACTCCTGTTTATCAAAGGTAAGTTAAATTTGAGTTGG